ATGATTTTTTTACTATTTATTTGTATGATACAGCTGCAAATAAGTATTTGAACACCTGAGAACATCAATGTTAATATTTGGTACAGTAGCCTTTGTTTGCAATTACAGAGGTCAAACATTTCCTGTAGTTTTTCACCAGGTTTGCACACACTGCAGGAGGGATTTTGGCCCACTCCTCCACACAGATCTTCTCTAGATCAGTCAGGTTTCTGGGCTGTCGCTGAGAAACACGGAGTTTGAGCTCCCTCCAAAGATTCTCTATTGGGTTTAGGTCTGGAGACTGGCTAGGCCACGCCAGAACCTTGATATGCTTCTTACAGAGCCACTCCTTGGTTATCCTGGCTGTGTGCTTCGGGTCATTGTCATGTTGGAAGACCCGGCCTCGACCCATCTTCAATGCTCTAACTGAGGGAAGGAGGTTGTTCCCCAAAATCTCGCAATACATGGCCCCGGTCATCCTCTCCTTAATACAGTGCAGTCGCCCTGTCCCATGTGTAGAAAAACACCCCCACAGCATGATGCTACCACCCCCATGCTTCACAGTAGGGATGGTGTTCTTGGGATGGTACTCATCATTCTTCTTCCTCTAAACAGGGTTAGTGGAATTATGACCAAAAAGTTCTATTTTGGTCTCATCTGACCACCTGACTTTCTCCCATGACTCCTCTGGATCAACCAAATGGTCATTGGCAAACTTAAGACGGGCCTTGACATGTGCAGGTTTAAGCAGGGGAACCCTCCGTGCCATGCATGATTTCAAACCATGACGTCTTAGTGTATTACCAACAGTAACCTTGGAAACGGTGGTCCCAGCTCTTTTCAGGTCATTGATCAGCTCCTCCCGTGTAGTTCTGGGCTGATTTCTCACCTTTCTTAGGATCATTGAGACCCCACGAGGTGAGATCTTGCATGGAGCCCCAGTCCGAGGGAGATTGACAGTCATGTTTAGCTTCTTCCATTTTCTAATGATTGCTCCAACAGTGGACCTTTTTTCACCAAGCTGCTTGGCAATTTCCCCGTAGCCCTTTCCAGCCTTGTGGAGGTGTACAATTTTGTCTCTAGTGTCTTTGGACAGCTCTTTGGTCTTGGCCATGTTAGTAGTTGGATTCTTACTGATTGTATGGGGTGGACAGGTGTCTTTATGCAGCTAACGACCTCAAACAGTTGCATCTAATTTAGGATAATAAATGGAGTGGAGGTGGACATTTTGAAGGCAGACTAACAGGTCTTTGAGAGTCAGAATTCTAGCTGATAGACAGGTGTTCAAATACTTATTTGCAGCTGTATCATACAAATAATAGTTAAAAAATCATACATTGTGATTTCTGGATTTTTCTTTTTTAGATTATGTCTCTCACAGTGGACATGCACCTACGATGACAATTTCAGACCCCTCCATGATTTCTAAGTGGGAGAACTTGCAAAATAGCAGGGTGTTCAAATACTTATTTTCCTCACTGTATATATATATATATTTTTTATATTCACACACATTCTATACATGTCTATTAGAATTTATTTGTAAATGTGTCCTGAATTGATGAAGATATCTGTTGTGATGTGGAAGAGAATCTGTGATACAACAGACCGGAACGTCAGCCAAAGGGGTGTATCCCATGCAACAGTCCTGTCTCTTTCTTTTCTTCTTACAATGACATGCTCTGTCAACAAATTATAGTACGAACAGTAAAAGCATAGCTGTGATTCCTGTCCTCTCTCCGGCAATGTATAACTTTGTACTGGTGAAAAAGATATGCCATACAAAAAAGTGCAGCCTTGTGCATTTTCAATCATTGTCATCAAAATCTTAGCCAAAGTGTACATCAGAAAATACTTACAGAGTACACTGTTATATTGACAAGACGGCTAAACATTTTGACTTGCTTGTTCATAAAGACACAAGGACTTGTTGTTCTGATGGCACTGACAAGTTTAATCACATAAAGATTTGCTTTTGAGAGATAGACTAAGGATTTTGAGCAAGTTATGGGCTTTTGCAGGTAATCCACTGTGTTGTGCTGTTTGTACTACCTGTTTCGAGAAATGCACTTACTGTTTTGCAAATGTTAAGGATGATTCAAGAAATGCACCAAAGCGACTGAGGAAAAACTGTAAAACTGCAGTGTTTTCCCAGTTTAATGTGAGCTTTAGATGAATGTTTCTTTGGTGTTGGTCGGGGGGTTATGTTTTCCAATGAAAAATATGTAATTTCACATCATATTGGCCCATTACTTTCACCATATCTCTAAACAAATAGTTGGAAGAGCTAGAGCAGATAATAAATAAACTGACCCAAAGATCAGTCTACTGGAGGAACTACAACAATTGAGCTAATGTTAAGTTACATAGCAGCTATGTAGCTGCTGTAGAAGTTTTCCTGCTCAGCTGCGCAGTCTGAAGGGGAGGAGAGATGTTAGCTAACTTAGCGCTAACCGGCTTCACTTTTCCAGGAGGTGGGAAACCGACTTTTCTTGGTCTTGAGAAGCTAACACACTGTAACAGACACCGTACATTTATTGCCAGAATATTTTCCTCCGCTCGTGTTCACCGTCACTTTCTGCCACTCGGACAATCAAACACTCGCTACGCACTGCCTGATTCAGTCTTATAACATTATCGGTCATGTATTTTCTGTATAGAACGAGGAGAGGAAGCGAGCATTGAGTGCTGCCATGCTCGCGAAAACATTTGTAGCGCATAGTTTAATGATCGTGGGAAATTTTAGTACTGGCGGTCGTGATTCAGCAGCGGCGCACTGCCGCTCCTGAATGCATATAGGGTAAACACTGTGCTTTATTGCCCAGCCCTGCGTGTACTCCCCATTTACATGTTACCTTGTTTATTGGCCAGTATTCATTATAATTTCAGTTAGCCCAATATTAAAAATATTTCTTACCACTAATATTAGTTCCAGTTGGACAGAAGTTTCATTTGTGTGGGTTGTTTTCATTCATTAAATTTGTGTAATAAAAATGATCTACATGGTCGTCAGTTTCTAGTTAGTTAATGCTACGCGTCAATAATCATTCATGCAGATCAACGAGTTCAACATTTCTGAAGTGCATCAGGCTTTTAGTGTCCGTCTCCTCCGGGCTGTGATTAGTCGGTTCATGAAAAGCTATGCTGATGTGCAACTTTACGCACACGACTGCATGAAAGGCACCTTTGCTTCTTTCTCCTGTTTCTACCGAGAGATGAGGCTGGCGAGAACAGGTGAGCATCACATAGTGCCCAGAGAACCTGATATGGAGAGGACACCTTTACCAAAGAAAAGTCCCACTACGCTAAAGAGTAAAATGTAGAAGTAATGGTACCGGTGACCCACTTTAAGCACTGCTAATAATCAAAATTGACGCCACTTACCACAAAAGCCGAAGCCTATAGATGGATTACATTCCGACAAAACTGGCCTTCATATGGATCAAGGACAGTTTTGTCGGAATGTAATCCAAAGGCCCAGACGATCCAATCCAGTAAAATATTCAGTCCAAAACGCATTTTTATATCTAAATACACACGGACTGCTGTTATGTCGTTTAGCTACAGTTAGCACGTAAACCAAAAAACGGTACACCTTTGACCTTTTGAGTGACACCTTAATTGACCCAATAGAAAATTCGGTGCCCTGTCCACAGCCTACAATAGCCAATGAGTTTCCACAATTGTGTTTAGGACTGGCGCTTCACACACACATCACTTGACTGTTAAAAAAACAAAACACACCACAAGAATGTTTTCCACGGATATAATTATGTATTGTCGAATATAAAAAACGCCCGCGCCGGAATTCCGGCACTGTGCTGGAGAACTTTAAGCCCTGTATTTAAGATCTAGGACAAAGCCAATTTTAGACTTTAAGACCCCACCAAAACAATGCAGGACGCTGACCTGACAGGTGCTGTTATCAGAGCAGCTCCTTTAATCTGGAGGTCTCAGTGTTTGATTGTCAGAGTGACAGAAAGTGACTGAATCTCAGGAGGAAAATATTCTGGCAGTAAAAGTACAGTGTCGTGTGTCAGATAAATGCTTCAGACCAACAAAAGTCTGTTCCGACACGGCTGGAGAACATCTCCGTGTCAGATTGGAAGCTGAGCAGGAAGCTAACAGAACGTCTTTTAGTTCAATTTATAGAAAGTAACGAGCAGCTGTATTTTATTCCAGCCTACCTGTCCAGCTTAGAGAAAAGAGGTGTTCAGCTCCATCCTGAACAGACTGAACATCCATGGTGTACCATATTTGGGTCACACATTGCGACATGTCAATCACAAGGTAGCCCCACCCTAAAGCCTCCCCTGCTTTCTGGTCTTTTTTCCTCTAAATGGGACCATGATTGAAGAGATCCAGTGGAGTTGCCCCCTGCTCGCTGTTAAGAGAGAATGCAGGTTTGAGGCTTCGCTTTTCAAACCTGGAGGTTCCTTCTTGAACACACAAAGCTGCTTCCTGGTTACACATTAAATATCAAATTTCCGTTGTAGTTTTGAAGCGGACCAATCAAAGAATGAGACGCAGATTCAGGCATGTGTTAGACAAGTGTCTAATCCACTGCATCATCGCAACCTCTATAATAATCATTTTGTATTAATTTTTTACCAAATGTCAACAGCTAAATGTGCAACATGAAACAGAGACTATAACTAAATAATATAACAACTTTCAAATTAGTTCAGTAGAAGTTAATAGATTACTTTTAATGAATAAGAGACAGCAGCAAAGGTTGCTGCCTGTTTAAGACCTGGTGGCCTAACTGTTAAAGAAACAGATATTCAGGAAACTCTGATCAAAACAGTCAGATCAGTCTGTCTATTGATAAACTGTAGGAAAAAGTTTGACATTTCAAATATGGCAGCGGGCGGGTGGGCGCGTGCAACGAGAACGACCGTGACAGTTTCACGGGATTGCGCCAGTTACACAGAAGACGTTGCCATGGTTACTGCGGAGCACTTGTTTGCCTGTCTGTTGAGAAGCGCAGAGCGACCCCATGGATCAAAGCCATATGAAAAGGCCTTACATAAACCCTGTCACAACCATTCAAGAAATTAATTTATAACGTGCCAAAAGCTAACATAAGGACGACTTAAAAAGCAACCATCCATATAGCAAAGTGTAGCCTATATGAGAGTAAAGTCAAAGTAAAATCAGTGCTGCTACTCAGAAAAAATATAGTTATTACCTACTAGTTAGCATAGCTTAAAAAAGTAGTAGCTAACGTTACTCTACTTACTACTGGGTGATATAACGCCACTCTCTCCCCATGAGTTCAAGCGTCACTGGCAGCAGCGGCCGGAGTTTATTTCCGAGTTTCACAAGCTGATGCTTCAATAGCCTAAGTATAAATGTAGAATTGTTTGCAGTCAAAAACTCTTTGCTGGTCGCACAAAGTTTACAACGGAGGACAATGTTCTTTGCATCTTAGACTGTGACACAATTATGGCAACAACGTTACTTACAGATGTTGAAAATTTCCTTCCTTTAACAGTTGAAGCAGAAGGTCCGGTGCCGCTGACCTGCAGCGCGGTCACTCATGTGGGTCAGATTTTCAGGTTGGAAAATCTGAAAGAAAAAAAAAAAATTCACATCCCTGCAGGTTGTCCTCACACAGAGGAGCCTACTGGTTATTGGGCAGAAGCGAGGAGGCCAGAGCCTTACGGTGGGACTTCGGAGTCTTGGTCTGGGAATTTTTGTACTCCTCTGCCCAGGCAAACAGGTTGCTGCAGGAGGAGGTGATATCAACCGCTGCAGTGATGTCACCCGTCAGTGTGTGAGTGCATGTGTACCTCACCTTTTGGACCTCGTAACAGCTGACCTGAATGTGCGGCAGAGCCTGGATCGGGGTCTGAGTGAAGACTGGCATAGACAAATCAGCTACCAAAACCTTCTGAAGCGATCAATAAGCCTGTGTGTGTACTGACAGCTGTTCTTGGTGTTGCTCAGGCTCAGCCTCAGGTTGTCCATGAGCTCCAGGATCTGTTCCAGGGTGAGCTGAGCCAGTTTACTGCTGGAACTGTGAAGACTGAGGACAGAGACCGTCCTCACCTGTCAGTCCTCACCTCTCTCCTGTTTGTCCTCACCTCTGTCCATCTGTCCTCATCTGTCCGTCTCTGTCTGTCCTCACCTGTGTGTCTTGCGGGGCTGGTTGTTGTTCTTGATCAGCTGGGCCTTGATGTGTTCTCCCAGCATGTTGTCATGATTGGATGTCCAGTGTCTCAGGATGCTGGTGGTGAACTGGTCCTTGGGGTGACAGGGACAACTCAGGACCATCTTCACCATCTCCTCACTGGGCCTGGGACACACAGACAGATACGTTAACGGGGACTCAGGAGTCTAAGACGAGTGTCCAGGTGTGTTCCTGTTGTACTTCTCTCTACGGAGCAGCAGCAGCAGACAGGACAAGGCCTACGGGTGTTCTACGAACACAAAGACGAAGGACTGATCAGACTGCAGGACAGGGACCCTTTCCTGGACACCACTGACTTTTTAATCATCTGTCCAATCACAGTAGAGGGGCGGGACAAATACTACACCGTAGCAACGGCTCCTATCCTGGAACCGGGCTTCGTCAGACGGTGGTACTCGCCGAGATCTTTGCTCACCCACAAAATCTCATGAACCCACATACGTCCTCTCTCTCTACCTGCTTCAGCCTTCTCTTCATACAGAGCAAGTATTCGCCTTCAGAAAGATAGATAACGACATGACTTGTAATAAATAAACATATTTAACAGGGCTCTACAGTGCTACCATTTTGCTCGCATATGCCCCTAAAAATCGATACGTGCGAACCGGTAAAATGATTTACGAGCACACAATGATTTACGCGCTTAGTGGCGTGCCTGCCGGTTGCGCCAGCTGGTTAGCTATATCAGGTACCTTGTGGTGGAAAAAAAAAATTTCATCAATTCTCATCAATTTCACTTGACCAATCACAGCCGACAGATGGGGCGGGACAAAAAAAGTTTGACGTGTTTTGACAGTATACTATTAGATGAAACTTGAATTTTTTTTATCTTGTATTATTAATATAAATACACTCATTTAAACTAGTTTCTACTCCATGTTGTGGAAAGAGCCTCTGCAGTGGAAAGATGCAGATTTCCACTGCACAGTAGCCTGTACTATGAAGCGGGGTATTTGGCCTATCCGGGTAATGTCGGGTGTAACTTCCCGATTAACCCGTACTACGAAAGGTGGATAGGTGTTACCCGAGGTCTGTTGCCATGGCAATTTAGGCTGCATCTCTAAACTGCTCCGAGCAGGTTTTGTTCGTGGTTAACTCAAGTTTACCCTGCACGTGAACTACACACCACATCTGTACTCAGTGTTGATGAGAAGTAGGATATTAATCCACACCACTTCATAAAATATGTTTAGATTTCATCCTGATTTGCTCCACTGTGGTTGCAATGAAGTTCTGAACACAACAGCAGCCCTGCAGCCTCTGTGATTTTAGAGAGGAATCTTAATTAACGGGATAGTTTCTTAGATGTAGCCCATCTGTAGTCTATAATTGAATTCTCCTTAAGTGTTGTCACATTTAGATTTTTATGTGTCCAAATAATAGGGAGGCAGGGTCGGGGTCATAAAAAAAAAAAAATCACAGTTTTCTTCTGAATAGGCCCAATCCAAGGCAAAGTCTCTAAGGTGCATGATAGTGATTGTGGGCTAAACTAAGGACTATTTCCTCACTGCTAAAGCCGATTGCAAAGTTTAATATAACTTTCCAGTGCATGCATAATACATGGCAGAGTGTGTGATGTTGCAGCCTTGCAAAGTGAAGTTTCTCTCATGAGTGTGACTATAATGTCAGAGAATATCCAAGATTTTTACTTTTAGATTAAACTTGGAAATTAAATTCTGTCTCGGATTATTACCCCTCTCCCCTGGCTCCTTTTTTACTATTACAATGGACCTTATGTGCAGTTGTAGCTTTACATCTTAATCATATTACACATAGAAGAGCCCATAAAATACATAATAGAGATTTGAACTACAATAACACTGTGATGGTAATTAGGCTAAAAAAATTTAGGCCTACTCAATGCGATGCAAACAAGCTGCCCTGGCTTTGTTGTCTGCCATGATATTAGATTTAACCGTTAACATGGCTTTACATTTATAATTTCCTGACAATGCATTCCTCTGGAGAAATACGGAGCATGCGCCATTGCGAAAAACCCCAAACACACCCCTTTTATGCAAACGCGCACCAACTCCAATTAAGTTAACACGGACTCAACTAACCAACATCTTATCCACCTTCGTAGTACCGTTTAACTCCAGTGTAGGCGGTCAGAGTTTGTCAACCCTGAGTTTGCCTGATAACCCCAAGTTAACTCTGAGTAGGTTGAACTCCCTTCGTAGTACAGGCCACACTGTAAAAAAAAAAAGTTTTCACAGAAATATACTGTATTATTTTACAGATTTTTTCTGTTTTTTCAACATTACATATAAATACCATGAAAATACAGAAAAATACTTTTATTAAAAACATTAACCATAAAATAAAAGTTATAATCTGTATATTCATATAATAAGAAATTATACTTTTTTTACAGGATTATTCCATTGCTTAATTGCCCTGAATGTAAAGTTACATTGAATTCTATGTAAAAAGACAAAGAAATTCACATATTTAAAATTAAGACAACTTTCTGTTTTTTACTGTGAAACTTTAAATTTAAGGTAAATAAAGGTAAAAAAACAATCGTAAAATAACGGTAAAAAGTCTGGCAGCAAAAGTTGCCAAACAAATTACAGTAAAGAACCTTAAATTATTCTACAGAATAAGTAATAAGTTTTTAAATACAGATATTTACTGTAAACATGGTCTGTATTTTTACAGTCCAACTGCTGTAAAATGAAAAGAAAATCTCATTTAAAAAATGTCTGTAAAATGTTAAACAAATGTATAAATCTGCATATAAACTGAAAAATATTGCAGAAATACCTTAAAATTACACAGTTAAAAAGTGTCTGCTGTTTTTACACAGTATTCTTTGGTAAATTCATAAGATTATCTATTCCATCCACAAGAACTCCTTGTCAAAGTACAGATTTTTAGATTTAAAACACAAAAAAATTTATTAAAAAAATCCTTAAAATACCGTGCTTTAAAACTCATTAACAGTATCTTGAAAGCTTTAGGCTTTTTTTTATGGGATTATCCAATCTATTAATAGTAACTTCCTGTTAAATTTAGTTTTTAAACTGTGGAATAACAAAGATCACGTGATAATAGCTTGCAAAGCCATATTTTTATAGAGATTACTTTATATAAACAATATTTGACAGTAATTACAAGCAACTATCCAACATATCTACGAACTTTTCCCATTAATGTATGGGGTTTACTTTGAATAAACATACTTTTATAGTAATTACAAGCAATTATCCAATATATCTACAAACTTTTCCCATTAATGTATGGAGTTTACTGTCATAGGCCATTTGAGGCTAAAAAGACCTATTCTCTTTAGGTCTTGATGCACAGCTTACTGGTGTTTGGGCTATATATCAAAAGGTCATAAAAAGGTGTATTTGTTATCCCATCTTGGTTCACTCAAAAAACTGAAGCTTTGATTTTAATTATATTTATTTTTTCAACAGATTCCACAAAATTGTTTTAGGTTAGTTAAAAGCAAAAAAAATGTAATGAACTTGTATAAGAGTAACACAATGAATGTCAATTGATCCAACTAAAAATAAAAAACTTCTGATCAACAATATATTTAAGATTACCTTTCAATATTTTATTTGGAGTAGTAAAACTATACATTTATGTTCAATTAATTAAAACATTAGGTTTTCATTCAATATTTTTTTTCCAAATTAGATTGACACAAATCAAATGTTTGTCAACTGGTCCCACACAAATTAATTTCAACTGAATTTTGTTATGGACTTTATTCACCAACACATGATGGTGAAAAAAATAATACAGTAAAATTATTAGCACTATAAAGTGTTGAAAAGTTTGCAAAAATAATGTTTAGTTGTCAACAATTTTGATGATGCATTGCTTAGAATTCTGCCTATTCCGCAGAACACTCAGCATCCAAATCAATGGATGGCTCATTCATAGAGTTTGTTCTTGAGCATCTGTACCTTGGTTGAGAGTTTGCTAGCATCTAGTTGAAAGAATCACTAGTGAAGTACCTCAAAGAAGGCTTTAAGGTTCTGAGGATAACTGAGGTTCAGTGCATAATTACACCTATTAAGAGTGCACGTGTAGAGGCGATGTCTACCAAGTCATGCAGAACTTCAGCACCCTCGGTGACTATCCCAACATCAGCTGGAGGAGTGGTAGCATCACCTCCCTCAACATGGATGCTGTAAAGATAACTTGTCCAAGCTCCCTCGGAACAGCTGTAGCATCAGATCCTTTACATAGGACAGAAAGAAAGTAGAAAAACAAATTATGAAATCACAAACAGATTTTGCAGAATTCTAAAGAGTAATGTTTGCATTTCAGGAGTCCTTTATGTAATGATTTAACAAAAATAGCATGATACAGTGCTATGTGTTTAAAAATTACAAGATGAAGTAGTGCTGGTGAATTAAATATTAGATACAATTGTGTATTTAATATACCTCACCAAGCACTTTATTTGGAGGGCGTGCAGTCTACTGCAAACCAACAGCTCTGCCATAAATCTTTACTTTTACTAAGCTTAGATATTTAACAAGTGTTTCTATTATTCTGCCCCCCTCATCTATGTCAATGGGGTAGACAATATTAGGAAAACTTTTCAATATAATGCACTATACAGGCAGTTGTCATTTTTGATTACATTAGACAGCAGATATTCCTGATAAAATGCATTGTGAGTGTATATATTAGATTTCCCAAAAGAGACAAAAAACAAACTGATTTTCTGCAAATCGTAAGAAAGTAACAAGGTTACAATTGTGGTCAAAAGTTTACCCACACTTCTAAAGAACATACACGTCATGGCTGTTTGGGTTTCCAATAATAACAATCAATCATTGATCACTCCTCTTGATAGATTTGGAGCAGTTGAGTTAAATTTAACAAACAGACTTGTTTCTTTAAAATAGTTCACGTTCTCGATTGGGTTTAAGTCAGGTAAGGTTGTGTACTGTTTAAAATTTTATGATACAAGTACCAAAAAAACTTCTTACGACAGTAAGAAGTACAAAACGAATAAGCAGTAGGGGTGTGTATCTTCACTGGCCTCACGATTCAATTCAATTACGATTATCAGATCAACAATTTGGTTCGAATCTTGATGCGTCACCTCAAGGGTGGGAATTTCTA